ATGGCAGATGTTGGCACCGTGTGTGATCCTGATCGAAGTTGCTCTATCATTGAAGATGATGGTCTGCAGGCAGCCTTTACAGTCGCGCATGAGCTTGGTAGGCACATCCCCATGTTCCTATATAAAAACTAAAAACCAGGCAGGTGCAAAGCAAGTCAATAATTGTGCTTCTCTTGTAGGTCACGTGTTCAACATGCCCCATGACGATGCTAAACAATGTGCTAGTGTTAATGGTGACCACTGGAATGCCCACATGATGGCCTCAACCTTGTCAAATCTGGACCAACTACAGCCCTGGTCTCCTTGCAGTGCCCTGATGGTCACGTCCTTTCTGAACAATGGCCATGGTCAGTGTTTACTGGACAAGCCCCAGAAGCCTCAGCAGTTACCTCAGGCTCTGCCAGGTTCAGTTTATGATGCCAACAGACAGTGCCGTCTCACATTTGGAGAGGAGTCCCAGCACTGTCCTGACCTGAGCACCACTTGTGCTGCCCTTTGGTGCACCGTCACATCTGCAAATGGCTTGCTTGTCTGCCAAACCAAGAACTTTCCATGGGCCGATGGGACACCTTGCGGGTCAAACAGCTACTGTATGGCAGGCCAATGTTTGAGCAAGTCTGAGGCTGCCAAATATCAGGTGAGCACCATTTGGTGTGCCATTTGTTGTCATATGTAATTGATGCAATTCTGATTTGTGACTGATGATGATTCTGTCTTGTCATCTTTAAGACTCCAGTCAATGGTGGATGGGGAACCTGGGGACCTTGGGGAGATTGCTCACGTACCTGTGGAGGAGGTGTGCAATACTCTTTCAGGGACTGTGACAATCCCCTACCCAAAAATGGAGGCAAATACTGTGAAGGCAAGAGAATTCAGTACCGCTCCTGCAACACTGAGGCCTGCCCTGATAGCAATGGTAAGTGATAGTCCTATCACTGTTCCTGCAACCAATGCAACCAGATGCAAAGGCACATGATACTCAAATGTATTTGTTTGCACAGGTTTGACATTCCGTGAGGAGCAGTGTTTGGCCCACAATGACATCTCCTCTCAGGTGTCATTTGGCTCAGGAGACGGCGTCGAGTGGGTGCCAAAGTATGCCGGGGTGTCTCCCAAGGACCGCTGCAAGTTGGTGTGCCGAGCAAAGGGAACAGGCTACTTCTTCATTCTGAAGCCAAAGGTGAGTGTCCCAATTAGACAGACCCACCAAGTGTTGTAAAATCTAACAATGGTTTAGTGGATGCAAGTGTACTACTGCCGATATTTAATCTGAGGTTCCTTCCAATACCTTCAGGTGGCTGATGGAACACCATGCACCCCAGATTCCACCTCAGTTTGCGTCCAAGGCCAGTGTGTGAAAGCTGGTTGTGACCGGGTCATTGGCTCCAATAAACATTTTGACAAATGTGGCATCTGTGGAGGAGATGGATCGACTTGCAAGAAAGTTTCTGGATCAATGCAACATACTAGGTAAGCCTAAAATCTCCACCAAAGATTTTACCTGCTAGTTAGAGTTTCCCAAAATAACTCAAATTTTGATTTATACTAACCCTTGCTTGTTTCTGAACTTTAGAGCAGGCTACCAAGATGTAGTGTCAATACCAGCTGGCGCCACACACCTAGATGTTAAGCAGCACTCTCTTGGAGGTCGCCGCCACGACAATAGCTACCTAGCAGTTCGCCGGCAAGATGGCACGTACCTACTGAATGGTGACTATAAACTGACCACTTTAGAAACTGACATATCTCTGAAAGGTGCACTGCTGCGGTACAGTGGTTCGTCTGCCACACTAGAGCGCCTGCGAAGCTTTGCTCCCCTACCTGAGCCTCTTACTATCCAGGTGTTGTCAGTCGGTGATTCCCCCCGACCTCGCGTAAAATACAGCTACTTTGCACCACGCCCCAGCGGGTCAAAACGGCCATCTATTAACGTTATTAGTGAAGCAGGAGATGCGGAATGGGCCCTACGTGAGTGGGGAACCTGTTCGCAGACCTGCGGCGGTGGTATCCAGAATCGGGACGTCATCTGTCTTGATGCTTATGGCCGCCAATCAAAAGACTGTCCTGAAGAGCTGCGCCCTGCTTCGTCACAACCATGTGCTCTGCGTGCTTGCCCATCCTGGTTGCTTGGGGAGTGGTCTGCTTGTTCCAAAACATGTGGCAGAGGCTTCCGCAAGCGCCCACTGTGCTGCATCAGACATGATGGCCGCACTTTGCCTAACGAGAGCTGCAACGCAAAAGATCGGCCACGACCTCTTCTAGATTTGTGCAACCTGACTCCCTGTTGAAACTGAACACTGAGGCTCGAAACAACCTTGAATAGCTGTAAGTTGCACCTGGTGCTGACCAACACAGGTTTTTATATTCAAATGGCCCATTATGACAAAGACTGCAACCAAACTTATCTCAGTGTTTCAATTCCCACCCATCCAACACTGGGTACAGGGCACAAAGCTGGCACACTGTGTACCTGTCTTGACAGCTGTGATGGAGGATGAGAATACGGACGCCTCTGCTGCTTTGGATGCTGATGTCATGCATGTTAGATTTTGAGTGTGTATGATGATTAATGAAAGAGTGCATGAAACAGCTATGCATTTTTATCGTCTGTCTGAGCTGGACTAGACAGACAGGATTAATTTGTCACAAGAGAGCATATAGGAACATATAGAAGCTATTGCCGGGGTCAAGAGCAGTACTGAAACAGAAGAGTTCATTAGTAGTGTTATATAAATGCCCTCTAGTGGTTCTCCATGTCAAAGTTGCAAATGCTAACTCAAAGCACGTATTCAACATATGCATTTTTCTTGCCAAAAATCAACGCCATATCTCACCTCAGCTAGGCACACATGCTGCTAATCAAACACCACAACAGGTATTAAGCATTTCCTCATAACTGAGTTTAACAATGCACATTAGCTTTAAGTTTAGCTTCCTAGATTGATATTTTCACCATTTTGCAAAGCCATACCCGATCAAGAGGGATCATATTTTTAATGGAGAGGGAGACCAAATCGCAGAGGTTCAATACCTGAGAAGACAGTGTGTTTGTGCGTGTTTATGTATGTGTCGGTTAGTTCTGTGTGATTGTATGGAGATGTGAGGGGCTTCTCTCCTACTACTTCATAAGTAATTCTCTCCTGCCTTCTGAGAAGGTATCTTTGTAATTAGGTATTTCGTTTTGTACAGAATATCCAAACGTTATTTATTTTTGTACAGCCCATTTAATATAATCTTGTTGCTTTTTTATAATTATTGTATTTCTATTTGTTATTATTATTGAAATTACTGAAGGATGTAGATTATATTAGAGTATTTATATATCTATGAACTTAGGTTTATGAATAAAGTATCACATTGATTTGTGGACCAAAACTATTGAGATGGTGTCTTATTTTGGGTGTGGCTGCTGACATTGAAGGAAGCACTATAGTCTAAATCCTGGTCTGAGGACCCCTAGAGGTTCGTAAAGGTACTACATTATTTTTTATATATATTATATCACATCTTGTATTTTTAATGTGGTTAATCTCCTCTAGATGAATGGAGCAACATTAACATCTGAAGTCTGAACACAAATTGATGCACATTGATTGTAAATAAATGTATACATACAAGTGCAAAAATTCAAGTACATGCATACATCAAAATAAAAAAGAGCATCAACATTATTAGATCTAGTCATGACAAGTATCAGTATAAAACTGCTGAGTCGGTCTGCTCATATTACGAACTAGACAAAGAAAGTCCACCGCTCTAAATTAAATCAATTAATTAGATTAATTCAATCATATTAATTAGCACTCCCAACAGCTGTTCAAAGAAAGCCTACATGACCGGCATATTCAGCAGGACAGGTAATAATCATATCAATGGTTATAACGAAGAAGTCTTTTGTTATATAACAAACTTTAATAATTTAAGAGGGCACTATGGGGTTTAGTCATTATGTTAAGGGTGGTTCAAGTGGAAGCTCATTCAGTCCCCAGTCCTTCTGCTAAATAATACATACAACCAACTGTTCAGCAAAATAACACACAGCAAGGCCTTTTAAACTGAAAACCTTTTTTTCTGACAGTCTGAAAACTGCTTAATACAACAGGTTGGAACAAGAAAGACGTAAATTTGTAAGATGCAAGATGTAAACATTTACTTTCCCTCATATGTTCATATACAAGTTATGTTCGAGCGAGGTTCTCAAAAACATGTTCTCAAAACATTAGAACAAAAACTTTACAATGTAAACCTGGACATTCAACTAAAATGTTAAATGTTATTACTTGTTTCAGAATGCTCAGAGAACATTCAAACAGAACATTTCAATAATGTTTGCAAATTATAAAATGTAATGTTCCTTTAACGTTCACATAACCAAGCATAATATATAAATATATATATATATATATATATAATAAAAAGTTGTTGAATGTTCAGAGAACATTCAGAAATATTTTCTTGAGTTTACGTTCTTAGAACATTTTTGCTTACTGGTTCCATATCAACTATCCAAATGCAGATTGACTAGGGGATCGAGTCACTAACTCACAAACAACTAGAAAATATATTATTTTTATTGTCAACCAATTCTAAATATGTGGTTGCATTCTACTGAGTGGATTCAAGACAAGAAGATGTGTTTCTATAACAGGCCATCATTCACACCTATCTTTTCTACATATTAAGATCAAGTGAATTAGTTATGAAGATCTGGGCCAATAAATTGAAGCACGTTTTTGCTTGGTGTTGAGCTCAGGTCAAGGATGTTGCAGATTCGTGAAAACACGATTGAAGATAGATCTAAATATAGACTTCGGGGACACTAGCGAGAAGATGAGACCGCAATTTGGCGCTATTGAAAAGGGCGAAGTGTTCCCAGAATTATCGTGCGGCTCTTGTGTTGTTCCTGAGGTAACCGGCCACATTAACGCTCGTGTGATGGGGAGTCGTGACAGCGGAGACGTGCGGCGGCGGGCGGCTGTTCACAGTCGCATCTAGACCGACTCCTTGCGCGGCTGAGCAAAGTCCCTGGGGGAGGGGATCGAGGCGAAGAAAAGAAAATAGATCAAGGAAGAAGTTAAAGACAAAGAGGAAGGAGTCAAAAGAGAAGTTCTGACTAAGAGACTCGTGGAACACGTGGAGCGTTATGGATAAAATAGTTTATTTTAATGCTTGAAACTCAGAACGCTTGACAGTCAGAACAACAGCACAGTTTATAGTCAGATTTAAGACATGGCAGAATGAACGATCAACTGTGTAAGGATTAAATAGGGTTAGACGCGTTTTCCCAGGGATTTTCACCAACAACAACAAAAAAAAAAAAAAAACTTACCGGAACATTATGGAAAATCCGAGGACAGCCAGTTCACAGAAGATTTGGAAGTTCGTGCGGGAATCTCTGCTGCTTTGCTTCTTTGCCGGTAATGTATTTTTATATTTGAGAACTAGAAAGTAAATCAATTAAACATTTGACCGATTATTTGATTAAAATAAACGAGCAATAACATGCAAACAAACAACGGTTATTTACGTGTTAGTAACTCAAAATTTGAGGTCGTAAATACATTGCAGGTTTTCATTTTTTGACTTACGGGTTAATTAAAGGGGTCATATGATGCTGCTAAAAAGAACATTATTTTGTGTATTTGGTGTAATGAAATGTGTTTATGCGGTTTAAAGAAAAAAAAACACATTATTTTCCACATACTGTACATTATTGTTTCTCCTCTATGCTCCGCCTTTTTGAAACGCGTCGATTTTTACAAAGCTCATCGGACTGAAAAAGCGAGGTGTGCTGTGATTGGCCAGCTATCCAATGCGTTGTGATTGGCTGAATACCTCAAGCGTGAGATGGAAATGTTACGCCCCTTACCATACTGTTGATGCCGTGTCCCGGCTGGAGCCATATTCAAAAACATTAATACATATTACAAACGAGGCATTTGTTGCATCCAGTGGGGACATAATTACTGATTATAATTACTTATACGGTCTTTTTACGCGTTGCGTTGCATTGTGCCGCGTAAACATAAAACCCTGTCTGCACTTGTGATCAGAGAAATGACAAACAACAAGTGCTACTCTACACTGCCCAAAACTCGCATTTGAATCATCAGTACACATCTGGATATTTCGGTTAAACTGTTCTGGAACAGTATTGTAAATACAACTTAACCACTGATTTGTAGTCGTGTCCTCTTTTGGAAGACAAAACAAAGTAGTTTCGCTTTCACAATGAAAAACGCAGCGGCCTAGTGTGAGTGGAAGCCCCGGCTTAGCGTGAGCAGAGGCGGCAGGATCGAGAACGGCGCGGCCGGCGGATCCGACGAAGGAGCGGCAAGCACATGTGACGACCCCAGGCTTCGTCCACGGTGAAAGCCGATCCGGCGATCCACAGCGCAAAGTTGATGTATTCCCTCAGCGACCAGCACAGATCAGCTCTAGGCATGACGAAGCGGATATCGTCCTCTTTTGGAAGACCAAACAAAGTAGTTTCGCATTCACAACGAAGCACACAGCGTCTTCAGGACATGGCGGCGGCAACAATACTACAGCGAGAATAAAAGTTATGCCTTCTTTCTTTGCGTGAACATTTAGGCTGCGTTATGCAAATCTTCCCACAGAGCGACGTAGGTATGTTGGGGCGTGTTAGAATGAGCCGTTTTAGGTAGGTGTGGCTGACTCTTAACTTTTATAAAGAATATCTCTTTGGATTTGAGACTTTAGTCTTTGCAACTTTACAGATCTTCTTTATGCACCAAGAGCTTGTAACACTCCAAAGAGAAAGGAAAAATTGAAATCGCATCATATGACCCCTTTAGCCATTTTCAGTTGTCTGTGTAAAAAATTAATGATTTTCGCTCAAAATTTTTTTTTTTTGATGAGAAAACTTGTCTTTGTAAATCTGTCTAAAGCCATGGTAATACAGATAACAAATTCAGGTTATAAAAACGTTGTAGGAACATTTGAAATGTTTCTAAAACATTGACGTGCAGTTTTCTTGTGATTAGAACGTTATTTAAGTAACAAATAAGTTTCTTAACGTTCTACTAACTTCCTTTTCACCCAAAATATAACATTATTTGAAAGTTTATTTTTAATGTTCTAATTAGAGCCCGACCAATATATCGTTTTGCCGATATTATCGGCCGATATGAGCCTGTCGCCGATATATCGGTATCGGCGAATATGGCGCCGATATGAATTTTTTTTTTACAGAACATATAATGCAGATAAAATGCTTGAAATGGTGTAATTACTTAGTTTGTCCAGCAGAGCGCGCTCCATTGTTTGCTACTGGCGACCTGGATGAAACGCTTTAAAGCAAAAGTCAATGGAAAACCATTGAAATTTTAAACGGCCATATCTCCGTAACGGCGTAGCGAATCCGCACCAAATTCGGGGGATCTCTTCAGCTCAAGAAACCCTCTCAAACGAGAATCGAGTATACGTCTCGAGGCCCTCTTTCGAACGGGAGTTACAGGTGGTTAAATTCGTGCTCCGGCGCCGACCGATCTAGCGATCCCGGGGGGCTACCGATGCGCGGAGGGTGGCGTTCGAGAAGGCTCCTCGAGCTGAAGGGATCCCCCGAATTTGGTCGAGATCCGCCAGCGCGTTCGCGAGATAGTGACACCAGTCAACTTTCCCTTCAGTAAGGAGGTCTCTTGTTCAGGCAGTATTCACGCGTTGTCTTATTCGACCGTAAGTGCCCTGCGAAGTGGACTTCACATGAATTTCGCCATGATTCCAGTTCCAAGGGAATGTACAGTACACAATTTATATTGTATTTATTTACAGAGGTAGGGGAGAGCTGGGCACAAAGTAACACTTTTTGACTTTCTCAGTTTGTGTAAATCCACATGGGGTTCAGAATATATATT